GATCCAGCAGCGGCATTCAAAACGGGCGTCATTAGCCACGCTCTTTGCGGGTATCCTGAATCACCTACAATTTTAAGGATATTTTATTAGTTTCTCAACTTTGCAACCATGTAGAAGTAATACGCTTTACATAATTTATAATGACACTGTGTGTGCTGTGAAAAGGCTAAGGTTGCCACTTGTATATTGCTACTCACCTAAAAGCCACGTTTGCTCCCCACGTCGGTGAAGCTCACGCATGAAAGGCTCCACTTGGCTGGAAGCCCATATAAATGAGTCATGCGTGGCTCCACCATACTTGGCATTCACATTTAGTATTTTAAGATTGTGATCACAAATCTGCAAATCAAATTATTTTAATTACACGCATGCTTAAATAGGCGAAAGAGGGGTATATCGACCTTATAAGTACCTACCTAATTTGTTTGAGTGCAACTAGGAATTATCTACTTTGTATAGAATAAGCAACTGAATCCATATCAATGATTTTATATACCATGTTATATTTTGACCAAAAAAACTTCAAATGCTTGACACTGCGAGCTCAAGCCTATTCGCAATCATATGACTGCAGGTCAAGCGCGGGCACGGCACGCGGCACTGTAGGTATCGAACGCGGCACGGAGCGACAGCGACGCACCCGCGCAACCCCCTTTCGTTTTCGTTCAGTTACGCTCAGGCTCACGCCGCGGCTACTGTCGTTGTATGCGCATGCACCTCGTCGACAATTTCGTGATCGCAAGTTTTATCTTATTATTCTTATATCTCTTTATTCTTCAGTTAGATTTTTAACTTTAAACACTTCGTTTATCAAGAAGAGTTACAAAATGAATTTGATTTAGGAGACAAAATCCATAAAAGTGAATTTTCAAGTGTTAAAAACAATCGATTTGTTTTAAGCAAATTACACAAAATTATAGCTCTTGAAATTCTTTGTATGATGCAAAGAGGCGAATGCTTCGAGCTACTTTTAAAGTATGTGTGAGCAGTGAAGTGAGTACCTATCTACCTAATCAGTGACATCGTGATTCTCAAATATTCAATCATAGATAGTAGGTAAACAGTGAATTAGTAACTAAATAGTGAATTAACGTTTAAATAATGTTAATTAACATGTTTAAACACCAAGATGGATTAGTAATTGCGTTATCAATGAAGACAGTGCGAAGCGAATGAAGGTTTGTAGCTGCACATAGTTGAGTTAATAACTACCTATACATGTAGTTATCGCCGCGGCCGCGCGCCGGTACATGGTGAGTAGGTGTATTTTTACAGACAGAGAGCTATTATATTAAGCAAAACTCGGTGAATCTTTATCGTAGTTTTGAAATTTTGCTTATCGATTATATTTATACAAAAATACTAGACCCGTGTTTCGTAATGCACTCAAACAAATTATGGTTGTTGACGCAGACAGTCCTTCATCTGTGCAGTATTCAATGAACAGATTCTATAATAATTATGTATAAAACGTTAGCTTACCATTTGCACATTAAGGGAATGATATCCTTTCCTATTAAAAAATAAGTGCTCGTCCCTGGCTGGCTTTACAATGGCCACGTGCGTACAATCTATGCAGCCTACAACACCCGGCAAATTAAATCTTCTTTGGAACCTAGAAGTGATTCATGTTTAGTATAGGTACATATAATAAAAATAAACTAAA